CTCTCTCACCCTCTTGTCGGAGTTTTCTTGTTTTTGTTGCCTCGGCTCCTCTTCCTTTTAATGTTGCAGATGCACTAGCACAACCTCAATGACGTGATGCTATGATAAAAGAGCTACAAGCACTTAAGAAAAATCAGACTTGGGACATGGTTCCGATTCCTATTGGACAAAAGGTTGTGGGTTGTCGTTAGATGTTTACAGTTAAGCATAATCCAAATGGGTCAGTTGCTCGTTACAAGGCCCGACTGGTTGCCAAGGGTTATGCTCAGACTTATGGCATAGATTATCAGGAAACTTTTGCCCCTATTTGCCAAGATGAATACCATCCGTGTATTATTTTCCGTTACTGTAATTCGATCTTGGCCTCTATTTCAGTTAGATGTCAAGAATGCCTTTCTCAATGGTGATTTGCAGGAGGAGGTGTACATGGTTCCTCCTCTAAGCTTTCGTTCTCCTGCTCATTCTGGTATGGTATGTTGTCTTCGTCGTTTTTTGTATGGCCTCAAGTAGTCTCCTCAAGCTTGGTCTGATCGCTTTGGCACTGCCATGCTCAAGTTTGGTTTCCATCAAAGTGCAGCTAATCATACCTTGTTTTTACGTCGTTCAGGCGGTAAAACAGTTGCTCTCATTGTGTATGTCGATGATATTGTTCTTACCGGAGATGATACTACCGGAATTGTTCAGGTTAAAAGCTTTAGCCGTCAGTTTGAGATTAAGGATCTTGGTCCCTTACGGTACTTCTTGGGCATTGAGGTGGCTCGCTTCAAGGCTGGCATTTTCATCTCTTAACGCAAGTATGTTCTTGACTTGCTTTCTGCTTCTGGTCAACTTGACGCTCGTCTTGCTGATTCTCCGATTGAGCAGAATCATCGATTGGCTGATTCTGAGGGGAGTTGTTGTCAGATGTTGGTCAGTATCAACGACTTGTGGGGAAACTCATCTATTTATCCATAACTCGACCTAACATTGCTTATGCCGTGAGTGTCGTGAGTTAATTCATGCACTTTCTTCATACCCCTCACCTTGATGCAGCTATTCAGATCCTTCGCTACTTAAAAGGGTGTCCAGGCCGTGGTATTTTGTTTGCCAATCATGGTCACTTACGTGTTGAGGCTTGGACAGATACTGATTATGCAGGATCAGTTTTAGATAGGAGGTCAACTTTGCGTTATTGTACCACTATTGGTGGTAACTTGGTTACTTAGCGCAGCAAGAACTAGGATGTTGTCTCTCGATCTAGTGCAAAGGCGGAGTATAGGACTAAGGCTTTTGGTGTATGTGAGTTGCTATGGCTGAAAATCTTTTTTTTTTCCCTAAATGAAGAAAAAAATTTATAAGATAAAACAATATAGTACAAGAATATAGTGAAGACATTTCTTCACTAAGACACACAAGAACATCTAGGGAAGAGCAGACAAAACCTGCAACAACCTTAAACTCCTATGAACTTAAAAATTCTTGAAGACTAATTCCAGCAATATCAAGAGCATCCCAAACAATGCATTTGACTAGGAATGAAGGAGATCTAATAACATCAGTATGAAGTCTACCATTCCGTTCATTCCATAAATAATACATAGCAGTTGTAAACAACATCTTATGCACTTTGTTCCTGCAAGATTTAATGTAAAATTGAGTTTGCAGGTCAGCAGCGAAGGAGCTAACAGAGTTCAGCTTTTGAACACTCCAATGAAATATACCAGCCAAGCCACACCAGACCTCCCTAGCATACACACATTTCACAAACATGTGATCAACATGTTCTTCATTGCAGCCACACAAGCCACATCTGGAAGCTAAAGAGATTCCTCTACGCTGCAAATTAGCACCTGTTAGGACAGCATTTTGAATAATCAAAGCACTATACATAGACCATCGAGGTCTACCCCCATTCCAAACCAAGAAACTTCAGGTTTTGAATCCCTGCAAGAGTCCCAAGCAGCTTTGAAAGTAAAAGATTTATTGTTCCACAATAACTGGTCCTCACCTCCATGAATCCTAAATTGTTGGAAAAATTGTTGAACAACAAATGGAACATCATCGAACTGCCACTGATTTTGAACGATGAAACTGCTCAAGTCAATCTGCTTATTAGAGGATACCTGTCTCAAGGTTCTATAACTGAAAACCTCTGATAAAAATTGGCCCCCACAGCATGGATCCATAAAAATTTTAATCTTAGCGCCATTGCCAATGCGATAAGAACATCGCACCTTAAGAGCATCTTTGACTGATACAATGCTCTTCCAAATGGATGAATGATTAACCTTTGGAATAACAGACCAGTAGGAAGCATTAGTTAAATAGCGTTTGTTGAACCATGCTACCCACAACCTATCCTTCGAAAGAAGGAAGTCCCAGGCTAAAGAACACTTTGCAGCTTTATCAATGTCACCAATTTGCCTTAAACCAAAACCTCCTTCTGTTTTTGGAGAAGTGACTCTTTTCCAACACATGCTATGCAGCTTGAAGTTGATCTCATTATGCCCCCAAGCAAAATTTCTGACCCTTCTTTCAATTAAGTTAATAACAGCAGCAGAAATACTGTAAACCGAAGACCAGTATAAAACCATAGGAGTAACCACAGCCCTTAATAACTCAATGCGACCTGCCATTGAAAGGTTCATACTAGCCCATCTTGTAGTTGCAACAACAACCTTATCCATCAAAGGTTTATAATCCAACCTTCTAATTCCTCTGTCAGAAATAGGTAGGCCTAAATAAGTAAAAGGGAGAGACCCCTGCCTGCATCCCAAAATTCTCAGCAAAGTATTCTTCCTCTTAACAGACCTTGTAAAATATACTTCTGATTTTTCTGTATTAACTGCCAGGTCAGAGACTTCTTCACAATGTTTCATCATCCTTCGCAAAGTGAACACTGAAGCCATATTAGCTCTCACAACCACAAGTAAGTCATCAACAAAAAATTGGTGAGTGGCCAAACAATTTGCCTTGACAGCAGCAGGAGAAGCAACTAAGTTCCCCTTTAGACACTCAAATTCAAACATGGAAGATAAATATTCAGTGACCAAAGTGAAGAGTAAAGGGGAAAGTGGACAACCTTGTCTAAGGCCTCTTGAAGGTTGAAAGAAACCATGTGGACTTCCATTCACCATGATAGAAAATCGAACAGTTGTCACTGCTGCTTTAACCCAACCAATCCATTTATTTCCGAAGCTATAGAGCTGTAGAAGACTAAACAGAAACTCCCATTGAACTGAGTCATAAGCATTTCAAAGATCCACCTTCCAAGCTAAAGTAGGAGGAGTATGCTTAGCTCCAAAGCCTCTCAATAATTCAGAAGCAATGATGAGATTATCCTGAATTTTCCTACCGCTGACAAAAGCATTTTGTTCCTTACCCACAATTTGATCAAGAACAACACTCAATCTATTAGCCAACAATTTGGTAATGATCTTATAGATGACATTGCAAAGAGCAATAGGCCTAAAATCCCCAATCTTGTTTGCTACCTTTATCTTAGGAATAAGAGTAATGAAGGTGCTGTTAATCCCTTTATCCATAACTGAACATTGAAAAAAATGCAACACAGCAGAATTAATATCTTCACCAACAACGCCCCAGTACTCCCTAAAAAACCTCACAGTAAAACCATCAGGCCCCGGGGCTGTATCCAATCCCATACTGTGAATTGACGCTTTTATTTCATCCCTATAAATATTGGCTTCCAAGCTGTCAGCAACTTCCCCAAGAAGAGTTCTTCTAATGAAGGCAGCATCAGGAGAAATAACGTGCCCTCTAGAAGAGAACAGAGAAGTGTAATGTTGTAACAACAGATCTTTAATACCATTATCATCCTGCACTAATGTTCCATCAGCTTGTGTAAGACCTGTAATATTATTGTTACCTCTGTGAGCCTTGGTTTTTTGATAAAAAAATTTTGAGCTTCTATCAAGGTCCTTTTTCCATTTGATTCGAGCCTTTTGAGAAACCAAGATCTCTTCATTAGACAAAGCATGTTCATAATTCCTCCTAGCCTCTTCTTCACTATGGATTCTCTCTGCACACATTGGATCATTGGATAATGCAACTTGACATTCCTCCAAATTAGTCCTAGCTCAGATAAGATGCTCATATACTGAAAACCTTGATTGTGCCTTCCAGTGTTGCTTCCATTCTCTCTTTACTGCGACAAGTTTGCAATTAGCATAGCAGCAAATCCCGTTCAACATGACAGGACTAAGCATATAGAGGTAGACCGTCACTTCATTCGAGAGAAGATCATCTCTTGTCAAATTTGCACTCCATTTGTCACAAGCTCTCAGCAGCTTGCAGACATTCTTACAAAGGGCGTCGGCAATATTGTGTTTGAGAATGCATTGTCCAAGTTGGGCATTCCAGTTATCCACGCACCAACTTGAGGGGGAGTGTTAGCATATATGATAGCCACAATTTGTGGAATGACTTACCATAATAGTAGAGATTTGATTATGCATATGTTAGCATATATGATAATCACGATTTATGGAATGACTTACCATATTAGCAGAGATTTGATTATGCTATAGAATATGCCATAGAATACGTTGTGATTTGATTTAGTTTCCTTTCTTGCAATATGAGCATGTGCTCTTTTATCTATAAATACTAGAGTTGTGGATGAGTGATTCATCACATTCAAGCCTTTACACAATTCTCTCCTTTTTCTTTTTTTTATTTCTACTGTTTTATGATATACAAAAATTATGAATCTTAGCATGTTTGACACGGCTGTGGATATGCTATACAAAGGATTTCTTTTATGCCCTTGGAGTAGAATCAAAATTGACACAAATTTGTACTAACTAGCTAATTCTGTGTCCAGGAGTTAATTCTAAATGTTTTTGCTTTTTCTTTGCACTACGTAATGCAAGTAAATTTGTGATCTTCTTTTTAACTAGTAAATGTAGTTGGTACATCATTTTAGGCTTTATCAACGTATAACTTTTGATTTTGATTATTTCTCAAAATATTCATTCTCTTTTTATTTATTATGATAGGTGAAGGTTTCATTAGAAAAGCCAGGGCCCCACCTTTTTGCAGATGATATTGTATCTCGCTTCCCCGGTTTGAAAAGCGGAAGGTTTTGGAAGGAGGAGCATGATCTATCACTACTGCGAGCTGTGTTAAAGTATATTTTATTGCTTTCTTTTTCCTTCCTTTTTTTTTCCCCATGAAAGAATTCTATTGATGTGAAATTGGAAAACAGCAGAGAGGCATCCTTCTGAAGTAGAAGGGTAAAAAAGTAGTATTAAATATGCCTTCATTAGAATTTTTTTTGGACGGAACGTTTATATGCAGCTTGGCTATTATTTATCAGTTCTTTAAAGTTTTAGTTGACATTCAACTTTTACTGGCTTTGTTGTGAGACATTAAACTTATTTTTTTAAATAAACTGTTGCAAAAAAATAAAATTGCCTTCAACAGTGTATATATAAATATAAATGAAGGTGTAGTGGCATTTGATTGTTAAGTGTACTTCTTAACACATTTTAAACTAATTGTATTGGTTGATGTCTAGGGGCGGGCCTTTTTCTTTTTCTTTTTTTTTTTTTTTTTTTTTTTTTGACAAGTAAAATATTGTAGACAGCCCTCAAAAGGGGAGCGCATCCCAAGAACTACACAAAGGCCAAATACGGCCCTCTTAAAAAATAAAAATAAAAAATGCACTATTTCCCCTATAGATTTACAAATTCTCCCCCGAATCCAAAAAAATGAAGTGTGAAGGATAGAGAATTTAAGCACGCTAATAGGATTTTCCTCTCCCTCAAAGGATCTTCTAGTCCTTTCCTTCCACAAAGACCACCACTGACAGAGGAACAGCTCTCCAAGCATCACTAGCCCGAACTCCCACTGGACAACCTCTCCAAGCCTCTAGAGCACACCATACAGAAGAGGCATAACCCATTGAATCCTAAAACATCCATGGATTAAATCCCAACAATCACAGGCTACCAGGTAATGAAGAAGGAGATGATTTACTGACCCCGCCTCCCTATTACACATGTAGCACTGGTTCACTAGAATCTGACCCCTCCTCAAGTGAGGTTGCTCCATTGTGACCTGGAAGTCACAAGGTCAAACAGGAAATAACCTCTCTGCATGAGGAGGTAAGGCTGCGTACGGCTAACTCTCCCCAGACCCCACAATGGCGGGATCCTCGTGCACGGGGCTAGCCCTATTGGTTGATGTCATGTAGGTTTATTTTTGGCCTTCACTTCAATATAATTATTAAATTCTTAATTTTATCTTTTCTGTTTTAAAATCCCTAGCCCCATAATTTCTGTCAATGTTCTGGACCCTCAATCTCTTATCAGCTGAGCTTTCTTACGGCCATCTGCGTACCACATGACCAAGAGATCACCTGTTTGTCATCATCAATCTGTAGATGCCCATTGGATTCAATATTTAATTTATTGTGAACGAATAGTTTTCTGAAGTTCCAAGCTCAAGCTTCAACTGGATGTTTTATGATCTGTTATGTATATTCTCAAATCTACATGCCTTATTTATACAAATGAAATGGTCAGCAAATGGTTTCAAAATAACTTGAATCTATTTTAAAACTGGTTCTGAGATAAGTACGAAGGCTTAGGAAAGACAAGTATTACACAATATATATAGGTATTTATTTGCTGTGCATGTCGGCAATATTGACATCACGTTTTCAAAAGATATCTACAATGGACTCCTACCTTACCTACTAATGGATCGATTTAGGAATGAAAGAAACGAGCAATTAAGCAATTCCTCACATCCAAAAAAGTACTCGAATTCAAAATTTGTCGCATTATCTATACTTTTGAATACCCGAGGAAGATGGAATGTCTAATGGTACGTAAAAATAAAGGGATAATCACATTTATAGTGCGACTTTAAGCCAACCCATTTTTTGGACACCATGATGCTTGTGTTTGCATTAGAAGGTTACTTAATCCCTCACATCCAAAAAAGCTAGTTACTCGAATTCAAAACTTGTCACATTATCTACACTTTTGAATACCCAAGGAAGAAGGGAATGTCAATGGTAGGTAAAAAGAAAGGGATTATAATGTGAGGTATGGAGCACGTTTACTGTGTTGACCCTGTAGTAATTTTAAGCCAACCTATATATCGAACACCATGATGTTTGTTTTTGCATTAGAAGGTCCAATAAACTTGTAATTCATTAACTATAATGTAGGAGAGGTAGGTTTGACACTAACACTGCTATATTATCATGTGTCAACATTTCAAGGATCAGTTATACTATAATTACTTAAATTGGACAACATGTTTTTAATTATGATTCCTTTATTTGGATATGCAGGCATGGTTATGGACGATGGCAAGCTATTGTTGATGATAAAGATTTGAGGGTCCAAGAGATCATTTGTAAGGAGCTGAATCTCCCCTTCATAAATCTCCCTGTCCCAGGAGCTTCTCAATCACAAAATGGTGCAAATACCGTTCATGCAGAAACCCCTGGCAGTCAGTTGGGGCCTACTGGTGGTGGGAGTGATTTTGCCGCTGGTATTGCCCAGGGGGCGACTGATGCTGTAAACCGAGCCCAGTTATACCAGGATTCTTCTATATTATATCATTTTAGAGAGATGCAGAGAAGACTGGTTGAATTTATCAAGAAAAGGGTGCTTCTTTTGGAGAAGGCTCTCAATGCAGAGTACCAGAAGGAATTCTTTGTAAGTTCGTATACATGTTTTTTTACCAGCATATTTTGGGTATTGAATTTGCATGATTTAGTACCCGCATATGCTGCCTATTGATACGGCTTGTATTGAAATATCTTATTGCATGGTCTTACTGATCTCATCAACTGTGCTACTTATAATGTTAAGTAGATTTTGGGTGTTACTGTGAGATATCCTTTTCGACTGCAGCACGGAGATCATTCTGGCACTGTTTGGTTTGGCTTGTGAGAGTACTTCGATAAGTGGAAGCAACTTTTATCTATTGCTTAGCTTTCTACTTTTTTGCTGCAGAGCTCGAGTCAAAAGATGTTAGGCTATTTTTTTCCCTCTCATTTTGTGCTTTTAAGATAAATTTTGTTGAGTATATGTCATGTTGGGATATTTAGAAGTTTAATTTAACTCATCGGCTTGAAATGGTAAAAAAATGCAAAGTAAAGTTTCTCATCTTTTTATGTATCATATTGGACTTATAGTGCTTTGGCAGCCCCATTAGATTCATTTTCTTGACAATTTGGAAATTGGACTTAAAATCACTACAAAAAGTAAAGATGGTTCTATTTGAAAAGTTCCCAGTCATTTAGACTGTACAAATTGCATTCTCAGTTATACTTGCTGAAGGATACTTCACCTCGTCGTGTGCTTGTATGGCTTATTTTTCCATATATTGTTATTGTAGGGTGATGAAAAACCTAATGAGATCCTTAATGATGAGCTGGGGAATGAGTCCAAGGTTATAGATATAGCAGGTCCAAGCTCCATGGGAATTGATGCCCAAATGATTGATCAGCTGCCTCAAATAGAAGTGGTTTGTAAGTATACTAACTTTTTTCTTCATCCTTGCACAAAATAGAATTAATGGTTTCCAGATTTGGTTTATTGAAGCAGCTCCATGTATTGAATTCTTACCAGATATTGTATTTTATTTTGTCTTCAAAGAAGAATTTAAGCTTTAACATAATGGAGATGAAATTCAATGCCAACAGTACATCACTTATTCAATAGCAGTGGTATTTCACTACAATGTAGTTGCTGTACACTAATTCTAATGGTCGATATGAACAATTTGGGTGTTGTAGACTGCCAAAATTACGTCCGTGATTAATAGTGAGGCTGAGGAGACATGTATCACCCAAGACCTATTACTCTTCCAGTATTACCTTTAGGTTCTGCAGGACTTGTATCAGTTTTAGATCATATTTGAATATATTTACTATGTATTGACGTATCTGGTATTGGCCAATACTTCAGACTGTGGACTCGATGATTTTTTTCGTCAAGTTATCCTGGCCTTGGCTGATTAATGTTATTGATGAAAGCTTCAACTCCAGGATTTTTCTTCATCTTGGAGATTATTTTTTTACACTCCAGAGCTTGAATTTGAAGTTATCTGGGTGCACTAAGAATCTTCTTGTTCGTTGTTGAGTCTATGTTTCTGGTTAGGAAGAATATGTTTATTTCTGTCTAATAGGTGTCAAGCTTGCAATGACCTGTATAGATTGCCAGGTAGACTCGATACATCGGTGCTTGAGCTGCTAGTACTTTTAAGAATTTTTCTCCCCTAATTGGCTTATTCTATGCGGCCTTTTGAATCCTATAGCTTTAGGTATTGATGATTCCTAAAGTCAATTTGGGTTGAACAAAGGTGCTTTCCTTTTTTGGTAGATTTTTTCTTGTTTTGAGTAAGTTGTACCGTCTTCTATTGGCAAGAAGATTGATTTTGTGTGGGTTTTGCTCATTTATTAGGTTAATTCACTTCTCATGACTTTGGAGGTGTAGTTTTTCACTTAATAAGAGAATAGCTTATAGGAGCAGTCAAGCGGTGTGCTGGATTGGAATATTCTAGTCTTCTTTTGTTTTTAGATTATATGCAAGCACTGTTTGGAGATTGTGACAATGGATGTTATGTCTGTCATCAATTACTCGCACGAGTGGGGGAAATCTTCAACAGATTGCTTTAGGGGCCTCAACATCTTTTAGAAGCATGAATGCTTTTCTATTTGGGTTGGTTTCGGGCAGCAATGGGCTTGATATATTTTCAGTCAATCATTTTAGCAGGTAGCTTGTAAAATGCTTTTCAGAAAGTTCCCCACAATGTGGTAATGAGCACTCTGATATCAGAGTCCAAAAGCCTTTGTTGGGGTTGTGGTGGGGGGGAATACTCTAAATCAAGGTTGAGGTCAGACAAGTCGGGGATTGTATTCTAGTTAGATATTGTGGACTACGATAACGTGCTCGGCTCTCTCTTGTACATTTTTAGAGGGTCTATGATTTGAACATAAACAGAGGAAGTGGATAAAGTTATTCAATTCCACTGTCAAATTTTATATAATCATTGATGGATCCAACAACCGTCTTTTGTAGTTCAACAGGGTGGTGATCCTTTTTTATTCTTCTTTCCTGTATGATGATGGAGAGTTTAACCTGTATGATGGAAAGTAGTGTCTGCAAGATGGTTTGTGAGGTTTTTGGATTGGGACAGTGAAGGGCAGTCCCTTAGCGGTATCTGATTTACTATCTGCTGATGGTATGATTGTGTTTTGTGGGTAAGGTGAATATCAAAAGAAATATATAAGATGCCTACTACTGCGCTTTCTTGAGTACTTGTTTTGAAAATTAATTTAGGAAAAAGTAAATTGTCAAGAAGGTCGTGGGAGCAGCATCATTCTGGATTATAAGATATGAGCCTTCCTGTTATCTTAATTATGCCATCCTTTATGTTCTTTTGGAGCCACTTTTATTTGGGCTATGGTGACAAAGCGACTTAAGAATTCAGTGGTTTGAAGGATAAGTATTTTATTAAATGGGTTAAGCTCATTCTTATGAGAAGCTACTTATTTAGTATGTCTACATTATTTATAAGGTTTATTGCATAAAACCCTGCCGAACTGTTTTCCCTCTCTGTCAAGAAGCCCCCTTGAACTACTATTTAGACCCCCCTAAACTATTTATACAATGCCCCACGCTGGCTTCCCTTGATGGAATAACGGTTAATCAGCCTCTGCTAGTCAAGTGACAAACCCAGTTTTTAAGAAGACATTATTGCCCTTTAGAACCGTTTAGTAATACCCATATGTTCTCTCTCTAGAGTGTCAATCAAATGAAGAAAAAGTTGATGGCATTGCAATTTGCACCCTTAAAAGAATAAGGTATATTTGTCTTTCTACAAAACAACTTATTAAAATTAAATAATACATGAAAGGTACATAGGTAAAAGGGTGATTTTGCACCATCCGTTAAAATAGTTAGACTGACATCGGTATGTGTTATTTTTCCAATATTATAGGAGATTTCTATAATTGAGGCAAACCTTTGGAAAGGTCATTTTGTTTTACCAATAAAATAATGGTAGGGTTGTCATTTTACTATATAATAAATAGGGTGGGGTGGTCCCTAACCCGAATCCACTCCTTTCCTATTTAATACCTTGCCTTACCCAGCCTATTAGAGGCAGGGTGAAAACCTACTAGTGCAAGATTATTTTGCTATCCCTAATCAGTTTCAAACCTCTAACTATTCAGTGTTGAGCAACTAAGGCCCAAAAGGAGGAAGTTTTTGGCGACATTGTAACGTTGAAGGCTATCGCAATAGGGTTGATTAATGACTGGATATTGGAAAGATAGATAAGTGTTTTGTGACGTGGCCTGAATTTGGTTCTGGGTCGCGTTGCAGTCTGTTTTCGACCTGACAACCCAATGATTGAGCTTTGACCCATTTTTTTTACTTTCGGGTCGTGGACTATTTAGTACTCTCTTGTACCGTTTACGTCTTTCTCAGGCCTTGATTAACAGGAATCGCATTGTAGAACCTTTTTTTCGGGGATACTTGACGATTTAGAGATGATGGGTCATGCAAAGAAAATTGTTTCTTATCTTGAAGTTGCACATAATTCATGAATTCTTGAAAACTGATAATTATTGTGTGGGATCTGATCAACAGTGTAACCTAGACTCTTTGCTTTTGCAGCTCCAGAAGAAATTTCAGCAGCTGCTTGTGATAATAAACCAGATCGTCTGAGGACAGCTCAGCTTTACAATGAGGTAAATAATATGTTATTGTATCAAATCTTTGAAGGGTTGGACGATAGATTGCATGGGTGACACGTTTCCTGCACCGGACTGAAAATGTTAATGAAAAAAGAGAAATAATCACATAATATATTTCTTCTCTAATTTCATTTTATATGCAGATGTGCAAGTTACTGGCAGAAAATGTACATGATTCGTTGGAGGCGCACTTGGCAAACAAACCGGCAGGTTTCAAGTTGAGAAAGAACCTCATTCCACTGGAAGCCATTTATCAAGAGATAACCCGAATTCTTCCTCCCATGCCACAGAATTCCCCAAGTTTGGAACATGTGGTATCAAATGCTGATCAGCAGTCACATGTTGAAACACCAACAAACATTACAGGATTTAGTTCAACTACAAAAGAAGATCACAATGCTGATGCAGTAACAAAGATTCCAACAACAGAATCAGGAGATCAGACAGAAAGTAGTAAATTAACAGAACAAGATCTACAGAAAGAAAAGAGCAACTCTCCGTGTAATGTTGCTGCTGCAGATTCATCTCCGAATAATCCTACTCGTTCTCCTCAGAATGAACCTACTTCTCCGCCCAATGGAACTGCTGGTGATGTGGAAATGGTAGAAGAGCAGCATGCTGCTGTTTCTAATGATAATGCTCCAGCTAATGGATGTAGAGATGAACCCGGCTCTGGAGTAATTGTTTTGGATGATTAAATTTCATGAAAATGACATTACTGGACTCGTCATCTTACCGTTTTGCTTTTCTACAGTGAAGAAGAAAAAAATGTGCTGTCTGAGTCTAATCACCACTATTCTGTATCAATATTTTTGCATTGCACAAGTTATACTGAAAATCTTGTAGATTCCCAAATTTGGGGGCTTACTGAACACAGCTGTTGGTGCCTTGGTGTTTGTAATACAAAATTCTATCGAGCAATTTAATGAATGTGCTCCTCTGGAGTTTCTAATTTGATTATTCGAATCTTTTTTATGTATTAATATGAGGGGTTCTTTGGATTTTTTTAATATTCCATAAACTATGAGCAATTGTATTTTTTTCATTTTTTGGGCGAACGCAGGTGCCAATTCTTCTTCTTCTTCCCCTTTAATCGTTTCACGACGGCTCTTTCTGGATTAAGATGGTAGAAGTTAGCTGCTGATTAAGTTAGTTTGCAAGAACATCTCCTTGACTATAACTGTTTACTCTTAACCAATTTTGAGATTTGAGCTAATGTTTTGTTTGGGAGCACTAAATCGGCAGTTTGGATTTGGGATGGGAGGGAATTTGGTTCAAAGTTTGGATCAAATTTCCTCTAATTCAAAATTCAAAGATGCTCCCAAACGCAATATGAGTGCTTTTGGATTGGTTTGGGAAAAAAAAGGTAGTAAATATTTGGAGAGAAATTATATTTGATTGAAAGGAATCTTTTATTTTATCTTTAGGACAATAATTGGTGATGCGTTGTGAACACAACATGAGAAGATTTCAAGGCTCCTAAAACATGGCCAATTCGCATCTATTTTATCATTTTGGAGTTGATTGGTCAATTATTTGGTAATCAGGATGCATGGTTTTGAGCTCAATTTTCTCGAGTTCCGGTTCCACGGAGTTAGTGAAGCTTTACTGTTCCTTGGGATTGGCGTTGGCCTTTCCTGCGCAGCTTAGGTGGAGGGCGAAGAAGGCCTCCTTCCAGGGACCAATTATCTTACAAAAATGTTGTGAAGTGGGTTGAAGATGGACAAAATTATTGTAGAATAATTTATTAACCGGATGAAACTGGACTACTGTTCTTCTGAAGAGAATCTGAGTCCGAAACATAAGATCTCTTTACAAGGATTGTTGAGAGAAGTGCTAAAAAAAAAAAAAAAAAAAGGTTAAAACGTACTCAAAACAGTACATGTATGCAAATGACATCAAGTTTTGAAAGAGGAAATTGAGTGACATGTGAGTGAAAAGCTGAATGAAACTTGCAATTTTTCATGTGCTGAAGTTTGTGATGTCTGATCAATTTTAGTTGTTGGGTTTGATAGAAGCCCCATCTGAGCGTTGTCGAGGATCTTTGTTTCAAGTTTAGTTTAGGAAGTCTTTTGTTAAACTCCATGAATTAAACTCTCTTTATGAATTTGTTTTATTTGCATATCTTAATGTATTGTAGTGTGTCGATACTACTTTTTACAACTGTCATGAAATTATATTTGATTTGTTTTTATGAAGGAATGCTTTTCAATTTCAGAGTTTTTGTCTTCGTATAATGTGAAAGGTTAATTATAAATTAGAGAAACTACCTAAATATTATATTGTGATAATCTAGAGGTACAACCAAACAACAAAACAACTACTTCTCTTTTGTGTGTTTAATAGTTCGAATTTATGTAACAAAACTAGTACCTCTTCTGTGTGTTTAATACGAGGTTACATACTAATAAGAAGAGATGAATTTATGGTTGGCTTTAGTTTGTCAACATGCATACATGCCAATACTGGAGATAGACTCAAACCAAATTACTCTCTTATGCATCATCATATAATCAATCTTTTGACTACTATTTTGAATCAATTAAGACTAATTTATAAAACTTAACCCACCTCATATATATACACTCATTTATAAAGACCAATTCATCAAATAGTTTCATTTCATTCAAAAATTCAATAGCTCAAGCCCACCACACGCGCGCACACATATATATATATATACTAGCCATCAATTTCACTATTTTGCAAAACAAAACCCTAACTGCCCCACACGTCTCTCTTTCAGTCACAGACATTTGTCTCTCCCTCTTACAGCCCTTCTTCACTCTCATCTCCTCCATCTCTTGACTCTCCACATTTTTTTATTTTATCTGATACGTCTCCCTCTTGTCGTATAACCTGATACATCTCTCCAAGAATAGGCTCTTCTATGCCAAACCAGTAACCCTAATCGCAAACCACCGAAATGGCTGCTTTATAGCCCATTTCGCTTCAGTGATCTGATCTTTCTCTTATATTATCTCCACATCTCTCATTCGAAGACATCACTCTCAAGTCTCATCATCTTCTAAAATTTCAGATCTAACGATCTAGAGGTCGCATTGGAGAACCCGATCTTGGTAGCGAATTAGGGTTAAGCATGCCTCCTCAATCAGCAGGTAGCTAACTCCTCTTATTCTTCTTCGTACTTTTAAATATTTGCTGATTTATTATTTCCAATATTGATGCGTTCAATGGATTTGTATTTAGTTGTGTGTATTGGTTGTTTGGCTTAACAGGTCGAGTAGAAAAGGATTTGTATTTGGTTGTGTTATTGTGTACTTCTTTAATAATGTGAGTGGTTGTGTGTTTGGGCTATTGACATGTTGGGGAAAAGAATGAACACAACCAAATTAGTAACTAAAAAACCTTTCATTTGAATGCAAATAATTTTTTTTCTTTTATCTTTTTGGCAAGATGTGAATGAAAATGCTTGCAAATAATTAAGTCTTTCTTTCCAAAATTTTCAGAAGCTCCTGACATGATTAAGTTTTGTCCTTTTACTATAGGTTTACTTCTTGCAAGGGAGACGGTAAATTGGATTGGGCAGTGTCGGTAAAGAGTAAGTTGTTTTGTGTTTATTTTTTATTTATTGTTTTATTTTTAATCTAAACAAAGTTGAGGTTATTTTGATAGATTTATGCATCTGTTAATTGAGACAGGACGGTAAAGAATTGACTGCAACTTTTTGGTCATTTTAGGATGTGGGTTGCAAAAGTTTAATGGTATAGTATAGGGAATTCTTGCAATTAATCTCTTAAAATTGGTTGATGAGTAGCATTCAAGTGAATTTATTGCCCTGTTAGTTGAAGTTCATGAAATTGTCCTTCTTTCCAATTTTAGTTAAATGGATTCCATATGTTAAAAAATTAGTCAATAGCCCCAAATTATTCATCCTGATTTTCTTTTCTTTTAACTTTCATCCAGAAAAGGTATGGTGAAGGAGGTATGGTGAAGGATGTGAAAAGCTTAAGGAAAGATGATGAAATTGATGATAAAGGTCCTTTACAAGGATAATCTCCAAAAAGAAGTGGCAACACTACAATCAGACTCGAATGAAAGTGGAACCCAACCATACACACACGGAGTAATATAACACACCCGGGCAGACTGCCGACGGAGTAATATAACACACCCGGGCAGACTGCACAAGGTAGAGAAACGGGCGGGCGCATGCGACGGATTATGGGTCAGCGAGTAAGCTGTTCTCACTCCTGATGGAGAGAGAGAAAAAGGACCGTCAACGCATTTAAAGAAAAAGCCATCATTGCTACTAGTGTTCTGAATCAGTTTTCACCTCAACACATCCCCTTCTCTCCAGCTGGTTTTCAACGTGCTTCACAGCAAGAGCAGTAAATGCTCTCCCTCTATCTCTATCTCTCTAGACTCTCTCTCTCATATTTGCTCCGCCACAACGGCTTGTGGCAGAGAGGGAGGAGGGAGACTTGGGGTTGTTTGCTTGACACTTTAATTCAGTTTTCATTTCATTTGTTTTTACTTCCATATATATATATACTGGAAGTTAAATTAATTAACGCATACATTCTACCTCCACCACCGAGGAGGTTCGAACTCTCGACCTCTCCAAAGGATAATACCCTTTAAAATAATAAAATTAGTTATATTTTCATTCAAAAACTGTGGTATCTCCACAAGAACAAGCAGCTCTTTAGCTATTATGTTTTCAACGTATCACCCTTCGATTGATGGATTGCGGAATAGAAGCAATTATATGAAAAGGTAGTATTACATGTATAAGGGAGGGGCCTAAATCAGTTTCATACCCCTTGTTGTCCATTATAGACCTCTCGCTTCGAATGTACCCCTTAAGTACCATGTTGTTCACTTTTGACCCTTCAAATTTTGTTTCTTTTTCTTCTTTAAGCATCGACAGGGAGTTTCTGTTGACCAACAAGGAGTTTCTTTCGAGTTCTGATCAATTTTAGTAGTCTCTTGATAACAATTGTGGATCACCTAACAGAAAAGCATGGGTGGAGCTGGTTTGGTAAGCATGGGTGCTGCATTACTGCAGTGAATTTGTGCTTTTATGTTTTCTTGGCCTGGCAATATTTTTACAAAAATGTCCAAATAAGGGTAGTTGTTGTTCATTCTGATTGCTATGAAGGTGATAATGTAGGGACAATTGCTTGATATATTTAGTCTTTCTGTCATTAAGGGAGCATGTTTAATGTATGTAATCCAAAAATTTATGTAGTTTACATATAATGCTTCTTGAATTTGTACGTATGTGTGTGTACGCCTGCATGTTCTGTTTATCTGCCAGCGTTGCCAGTGTTTCAATGATAAATCTGTGGTCAAATTTTTGTATGCTTCAATACATTCAAGGATAACCTGATTTTTTTTATAAACAGATCCAGACAGTTTTGTAGTTATATAGAAAATAAATATACAGTATTGATCAACAGCCATATCCGTGTTGTCTTTGTTGAGGATCTTTGATCATAATGGTGATCGAGTTTAGTCTAGGAAGTCTTCGTTAAACTCCATGAATTGAACTCTACTTACTGCAAGTATCTCTTATACTGAGCAAGCCTAGAATGCATTCTGCTGACATTTGGGTTAGATGTTGAATGAATGAAGTTATATACAGATACTTGGAGCTCATTTGTTTGGTTGCTTATACTTCTATAGATGTCCTGGGATTAAATTTGCTGTGTTTTTATGAAGGGAATGTTTTTCAATTTTTGAGTTTTGTTTGTTTATTTCTGAATTTGTAATCTTCGGGCTTACCTTCCGAAAAAAACATTAGCATATGGTAGAACATATGTATAGTTTTAAATTTGTTTGTGATTTAACTAGTTTGCCCTTAAAAAACTATTATTGTTTGAAAAAAAAAAAAAAAGATATTATGAAAAGTCAAAAACAATTTGAGTCAACAAGGATAATTCAAACTATCTTATTTACTTCAAGCACTCTACCAATGACACCAATGTTAAGAGAACTCAATTTAATAGATGACACCAACTCAACGCAATTACAGCAACTCCTGAAACTTAAATGAAGATAGCTTGAACAAAATTATTAGGCTTGTTTATTAAACGAACTAAGCTCAAACATCTCTATACTTGGCTCTTCGAAGTTGGTCGTTTTGAGCTTGTCTATCTTTACTCTCTCTTTTTTCCCAGACGTCCACACCGAGGCCTAATATTTCTAAACGACAGATTGAAGTGCCCAAAGATGATTTAGCTGAAACTTGAACTTGCTGAGGTATAACGAAAGATGGTCTGTGTCTTGGCTTTATATAAGGATACCTGGTGATGAATGAGACAATTGAAGAGAGTATTCGATTTTAACTGGGAGAAATTATTATATAGTTCGGTCAATTGCATACTATTTCTTTTCACCAAAATGTATTATATTTTTTGAGGTTATATTGTTCAATCAATCATAACTTGTCAGTTTAATAATAAAAAAATTAAAAAATTTGACTCATCTACTTGCCCAGCGAATTATGATTTGGACTATGTAATAATTTCTTTTTCTTTTCACCTCATTGTTACCCAATGACCTGTCGGTCACTATTCACCTGAGATAAAAAGAAATTTTGACTGGTCAATTGCTCACTGTCGGAACATGTGATTCTCTGGTTGTCAGTGTTTTTACTTATTCACCAAACTTTTCAGAAAAATTGAACAACAAATATAAAAGAAGAAAAAGACTAATCGTTCCGTCTCTCTTGTAATATTATCCTCCTCCCTCACTGCTTACAACCTAATATATCTCTGGATCAACCGATTTCAAAGACTGACCACTCTCACTCTCAAGGCTCATCCACCGGAAATTTCAAATCGAACAATCTAGCACTTGGAAGCATCTTAATTAACTTTGGAGCCCATTTTCTAAAATTAGGGTTATAATTTTCTGCAATTAGGGTTATAGTTGTGGCAATTTTAAGGATTAGGCATGCGGCCTCAATCATCAGGTACCTAACTTTTCTTTCCTTCTTCGCACTTTAAAATCTTTGCTTGATATATTATTTTATTCAGATTTTACATGCTTTATTATTCTGACTTAATTCAAAATCACAAGTCCCGGAACGAGTCACGTTGCTGATCCTTCTGATCATGTGTAGAAAGAGAGATCAATTTCTTCTTTAGCATTTTACTTGCCTCCGAATCATCGAACTCGAACATAGCATTTTAGATACTAACCACACCAGGGTTTTGGCTGTTGAGCACAGAAAACACAGTAGCCAACTCGAACCAAGAATTCAAGCAACAGTGAAGCAGACCTTCAGGAAACACAAACACATCACCTTCCCTAAGAACCTTCTGAAAAGGCTTGTTATTGGCGGCATCCACAAATCCAACAGACACAACGCCTTTGCTAACGAAGATGCTCTCGGGTGCGAGTGTGGCACCACCATGCCGTCCACTTCCAGGTCGGTCCTGCCAACCGATAGGCCGAGGGTGTTGAGGCCTGGGAAGTCCGCGGCAGTGACGATGGTGGTGGAGGACAGGTCGAAGTTGTCAGTGTCCCCCACGTGGTTCAGCCTCGAGGTCCTGAAATCCCAGGCTGAAATGTTTGTCGGGTTCTTGCATGGGAACCCGTTCCTGCGTGGGAATCCGTTAAGAAATGCTTGGACCACAGTTTTCAATAGATTTTTTTTTTTTTTCAAGTAGAATATTTTTTTATTTTTATTTTTATTTTTATTTTGTCCGAATTTGACAAAGATTTACGTCGGGATTCAGGACCAATGTATAAGACGGGACATGCAAAATAATTTGTCAAAAATTGATAAATAAGTTATTTTTATTAAATTTTAATATTTTTTTTTCTTCATAAATATTTTACGACAACTAAATATTAAAAAAATAAAAAAATATTTTTTAAAAAATATGTTACTTCCAAACAAACGGAACCTATTTTCGGAGATTTTCTACTGAGTGTAGTGCAGTCTAGGAAATCCTCTATTAAACTCCATGAAGTAATTCAATTTCCCACAATGAACTTTACTGACGGCAAGTTTTTTTTTTTTTCTATTTATTTCCGCGTTTTGCTTAATAATAATTTTTTTTATTTTTATTTTTTGTCATCATGTGAGTATCAATTAGAAAAAAAAAGATTGGGTTAGATGTTGAAACTTCGAAGCAAGGAGAAGGTACTTCAAAGTTTGAATTTCAGAAAAGGATTATTTGTTTAAACCTGATGATTGTCTTAGAATATTCTTTTTGGACAGAAAAGGGTTACTATGCAAATACTTGGAGCAGATACTTTTTTAGTTGGGAATCAGATCAGTTTGGTTGCGTAATGTCCTATAAATGAGTTCTGTTGGGGCTCTGAGATCAGTTTGGTTGTATAATATCCTATAAATAAATAGTATGTTGTTATCCCCATTTACAAGTTACTCATGGGATTATATTTTTCTGACAGGTAGAGACTACAGTGCTCGAATGAACTAAGAAATTTTGTTGATTGCAAAATAAGCGGATTGGCTCCGTTTGTTTGTGTGTAAAATATTTTTTTTTATTTTTTGGTATTTAATTGTTGTAAAATATTTATGAAGAAAAAAATATATTAAAATCTAACAAATATAACTTATCAATTAATTTTTAGTAAGTTATTTTACACGTCCCGTCCGATGGACTTGACCTTAACTTAAATGCTGAATAAAAAAAAAAAAATTATCTAAAAAAAAGAAAATCTTTTTCGAAAAAAATATTTTTGATTGAAACAAACGCAGCCTTAATACCTATATGAAAGCCTTAATACCTATATGAAAGTGTTAGCAACATGTTGGCACCAAAACTTGGCAGCCACTTCAGCAGTGACGTGGACCAGTGAAGAGCTGACAAGTGTGCAATAAGATTCCAAGGGAAGTCGGCCAATAGAGAGACAAAAGGAGAAAATCTAGGAATTCAGCCACCTCACCCAACAAGGTTGTTGCTGAAATCTTGGTAATTAATATTTGAAAAGGAAAAACTTAGAGATTTAGTTACAACAAATAACTAAATCTCTACGAGGTAGGAATTTAGTTGAAGAAGGAAATTAAATCCCTATGAAATAAGAATTCAACAAAGGGGCAGCCGCGTGAATAAATGGGTGAAAGCTACAAAAGGTTATTCAGGCTATTTAAGGATTAGTCGAGCCTATGGAAGGAAGTTGCTAAAAATTAGCAACTTGTCAGCAACTTTTTAGCAACTAGCATTGACTAAATCAAAAGGAGTTTTCTTGGCAAAGTATCTTCAACTAAAGCAAATAAAAGAAAGGAAAATTCAAAGACGAAGCAAGGCGTAATAGGAATACTGAAGCATAACTTTGTTTGAGTAACAAAGTGAAGAAAATCAAGGGCAGCGAGATATTTTAGCAAGAAATAAATAGATTTGTTGATTTAGAACTTCTATAAATAGAAGTCTTGTAATCTATTCCAATTGGTCCAGCACCAACCACAAATCAGCATGAATGAAAAATTCATCAAATGACTCAACGTCATCTTTATCTTCAATTCATTTGTCCAAATGGTAAATTTCATTAAAAGAGATTAAGTTCCAGTAACTTATTCTTCTTTTGCAATGCTTAATTATGCTATTCACAAATTAAATCTTTGATCAGATTCATGTCATTTTAATTCGGCCAGGATTTCATTAAAAAATGTCATTATTTTCCGTGATATTTCAATTCAGCCAATTTATTTTAAAGTCCATTTTAATTCAGCCAGTTCATTTTCATTTACTTTAAATCGCATTTTATTTTCTTTTAGGCACCTTAGATAAAAAATCCTTACTACAAACAAGACATAAAAAGAACCTTGCTGGGAGTTCTTACTAGTTTCTCTCTCACACAATTGCCTGACAGTCAGCCATCGAAAAAAGGGATAGGCTGGTGTTCGAATCAACATATTTTTGAGTGTTTTGTACAAATACTCTGGCACGCCCGCAAAGAGTCCATCGACCGGCGTAAGACCGCGCGAACATATTTTGGCACGCCTGGTGGGACCACTAGTGGGTGTTTAGAAGAAGCAAAAATGCCACCACGGCTTACAAAGAATTCTAAGGCCGTGGTTACTGAAGAAGAACTGGAGAAAGGACATCAACCAGATCAGGCTGAGAACTCTGCAACAGGCCCTATTGATGAGCTAGCAGTGATGCAAGCACAGGTGAGCTCTTTGGTAGATGCAATGGGAAGGATGAGTGCACGCTACAATGACCTGCACGAGACTATGTCCCAACTCTCAGCTGCCATTTTGAATAGGCCGACTCAGGCAA